TGGGATTGCAGAAACAGCTGTTCGCGGGGTGATTTTGAAGGGCAAAGCAGGATTTTCTTGCAGAAGTCTGTTTTGGGTTATGAGAATTGTGTCTGGTTTTGGGGTGAGCAAAGGCTGCAGGGATGGGTTGGAGAAAATGATAGGCGGGGTTCTTGAACAGGCTACACTGGATGATCTGCTGGTCTGTGGGCACAATGGGAGTGTTTATGATGTCAATCTTGTGTTGAGATTGATCAGAGTGTTCGTTCATCATAACGATAATAATGTCACAAGGGAGAAGATGATTAGGGTCGGAAGATTGATTGATAGGTATTTGGGTGAAATTTCTCCTGATCAGAGCCTTAAGATCTCAAGGTTTCTTGCCATTGCTGAAAGCTTACCAGATCATGCAAGGGATTGCTTTGATGGAGTCTATAGATCTATAGATATCTATCTTGAGGTATGCCCTTCAAAATCATTCTTTCTTTTTTTTGCAGTTGTTATGTCTATGGAAGACTTAGGGCCGGAGTAGAGTTGCTGTCTTACCTAGATGGTATCTTGCTTACAATAACTGACCTTGCTTATTGTTTAAGACCCCTTTGCTAAGTTAATCTTCAATCACTTCACTATTAAATATATTACTCTTTCAATGTAAAAGTAGTTATTTAAGAAAAGTACTACGTAATAAATGTCGGATAAAAGACATTCTGCCCCTAAAAAGTTTAACATTTAAAGTTCGTTTGAAAACACTAAAATTGACTGAATGTACTCGAATTTGGGTGAAAAAAATACATTTAAAATATATATATTAATAAAACAAAGAGAACATTATATGAAAAAATAGTTAGAGGAAATCATCTTCAACAAATTTTGTCAATAAAGATAAGGTTGATAATCTCATAACATTGTGAAAGTTGTTGAAGATGAAAGTTGGCCATATAAACTCTTGTCGCATTAAATCCTTTGTTCTTTGAAAAAATATGCACAAAATTTGAGGTATTTGCACAGACATGCAACGATGTTTAGTTTGAGACGAAAAAGGTTGCCTCGCCATTTAATTTAATTTGGAACAGAGGGAGTAGCAAACCTAGGGGTAATACTGTAAAAACACTAAAATCTGGGTAGGCGGAGGAGCTATCATTCATCTAAACAAGAGTCATTGTAGGAGCCAAGACTCCCTAAATTCAGATTTTGGGAAATAACTTATTCAAAAGTTGAAATGATGACAAAAAGTTCTTAGGGGAACTTGGGTGGGTTGAGGACTGGATTAGCATCTCCCAGCTGTACCACTTGAAGGGTCATGCAGAGTATTAATAGGATTGAACATGTCAATGCTAAAATATATTTTAGAGAGGGAAATAGCATCTCCTGGTAGTGTAGTCTAAATAAAGATGATATGTAATTATGCGTAGCACTGAAACTAAATTTGGGGGAGTTTCACAACAAAAGAATCACAAGACCATACAAAAGTATATTTTCCCCAACAAAGCAAAACAAATCATTTTGATTTCACTAAATCATTCCCCTGTAGAGGACAAAAGAAGCGGAAAATGTGAAAAATATTGGTCACATTTTGATCTCACTAAATTAAATGTCCGGCCTATCATGATTATATATAGGTCACACCATATAATTCAGATAGGAGTTTTTGATTGGACATCACAAATTCTTCATCCGGTCTTAGGATATGACACATTTTAGATTTCATGTAGAAGACAAACAAAGGCATGCAGCTGCAATATTCCTACAAGTTGAGTGATAGAATTTGCAATTCTGAGATCCATTTGTCCGGCCTTTTAAGTCTGGTGGTTTTGAAATCAGATTCCTATGGCATATGTTCCTTAAAGAGGTGAACCCCACCCCACACCGGGGAGAAGGGGTGCAAACTAGAGGAACTCAGCACCTAGAATAAGCACTAATGGGATGCTCTCAATCTTTTGGTTTGGTCCCTATGCTATTCTGGTTGTTTTATTGATGATAATCATGTGTGTGACAAGGACATGATTGCATTTGAAAAGGTTAGAAGTATTACAGCTGTGATTTATGCATTTGAAAACAAAAAGTAGGGTCATCGGTTCAATTGGCAGAAATAATTGGCAAGAACTTCTTTTCTGATAATGTTAGCAACCTTACCTATAATCTTTTTGGAGTGTCTTCAGAAAACCATCTGCTATTACTGATCATGGTTGATTATTATATATTAATGTGGTATGGTCTTAAATTATTTTGGAGTTGTATCAGTTATGGACTTAAAAAGAGGCTGACTATCATTCTAATACCTTAAAAATGAAAAATATCAATTGAACCCGGATGATCTGGTAAAAACGATCAACTCAACGCTCAATAAATCACGACTTCTGGTTCTTTTTTCATGTAACATTATTATTCTCTACTATTAAATTCAAAATGTAATTCGTGAAGGGGTTTTCATTGATAACCAACATTGTAATAATTACATACAAAAAGATCCAAAACTTATGCCTTTTTCAGATACTCAATTGATACAACTCCAATTGTTTAGAAATATAATTAATTAGTGATTGCTCTGAATAAACTGACTGCAGTCCCATCCAACCCTCTCATTTGAAGAAAGATCAAGACTGTGCAGATGTCTAAATTATCATAAGCTAAGTCTGGAGACATGCAAAGAGCTGGCCAAGAACCCGAGAATTCCTCCAAGAATTGCAGTTCAGGCACTTTCTTCACAACGTCCAAACGAGCCTTCATCAATGAAGAAGATTCTGAGTGAAAATCCAGGAACCCAAATCGTGTTGTACAACAACAAGGGTGGTGATAGTTTTGCGGATAGTGGGCATCTCTCTGAGGGTCAAAAAAGCGATGATTTGAGGGTAAACCTTGAGAGGATGCAGTGGAGGGTAGTGGAGCTGGAGAAGATCTGTAAGGAGATGAAGGGACAAATGACAAAAATGGTCAAGTCTGGGACCATTATACCAACCCCTTCACACGGTAGAGCCTTGCCCAGGCTTTGCTAACATTCCCAATGCCAAGTACTTCGTATAAAACAGGACAAAAATGAATATATACATATATAAGGAAGTTTCTGTAAGTATATACTCCGTATATGTTTTTCTTTTCTTTTCTTGTATATATAATATATGCGTATGTGTTACCCATTATTCTGCAAAAAAAAAAATGTAAGGAGAATGAGGTCAAGATGCTCGATTAATCTTACTTCATTTGAAGAACAAACCTAACATGTACTATTATCTCATGTCCACGGTTAAATCTTACTTCATTTCAAGAACAAACCTAGCATGTCTTGTTACCTCAAGTCTGTAATTCCTTTCCCTACACATAAATAACGGTATTATACCTACAATACATTTGATCGATCCAACTCATCATCTCATTATCTTTTAATATTAAAATTGTTAAATTGTAATATTTTAATTGGTCCATATATGCAAGGTACGATAAAAATTTGTTTTTTTAATAATTCTAAAAATAAATGGCCTCATTTCTAGTTATTAAAATATCAGTCAAATATCTTGTGGTCTGATAGCATCACTATGACACTCCAAAGGACAAGGTCACGGGTTCGAAGCACATGTAGAAAACTTCTAGAATTAAGTATAAGCACTTGCGAATACAAGGATATATATAACTCTAAAGCGGAACGAAATAATTTAAAGCTAGTATTACAAGTAAATCTTGAAATTAAAGAAGCAACCATATTAGATGGCGTAGTACAATATGCGAAGGAGATGTTGTGAGTGGAGCCTAAAAGGAAAATTTTTAGACCTCTACAAAGTATTCAGTGGATCCACCAAGCCCAACTTTGGAAATGAGATGCTCCAAATTAACATAAAGGAGTTAGACATTTGCATGCATGCCCATGTCAACGTGGAATATATGCTTTTCAATAGTGAAAGCGAAAAGATTGAGAAACTAAGGGGTAGATGAAAAGATCCCACGTGATCTCAAAATTGCACCCGTTATAGACGGGAAGTGTGTATATTCATTTAGAGACCAGAGGGGGTTTGGACAACTCAATCCGAGGTTGCCAGAAGGGGATCACTCCATAAAGAAGCTGCAAGCTATTGTTAGCAAAGGAGAAGCCATTCGAGGAGGAGACCAAAATCACATGTGATTTCTAAATAAACCAAGCTATCACACCTGGAAGAGTTTTGAGGAAGAGAGACTCTAACTTGTTGTGTGAGGGAAACCACCAATTAATAAGCATTTAATTTAAGCAATATATAAACGTGGGACAGAGAATGAAAAATATACTCACGAAAGAGTGCCAATCCCGACCACTATCTTACAGGAGTATAAGCAATAATCAACAATTGAATGGGCATGTGGACAGATACGACTCATACGAGGTCTAAAACCTACTATGATTCTTGGAAAACAATTGAATGTTTTGTAGTAATTTCCACAAGAATAAATAAATGACAACTTGTCACTTATGCCAAGCTTTCGAAAAGGAAAAGGCAAATCCTAGAGTCTTGCAAATCTTCATATGCTGATGCAAGCGTAAAACTACCATTATTTGATAGGGGAGCCATCACTCATCATCTTAGAATTCATGGCACTGGATATGATTTATGGATACCACAAATTCTCTTCCAACTTTCCAAGTAGGGGAGTATGGTAGTCTAGACTAACTTCACATCTTCACCTCTATTGTATCAGTAGTGCCCAAAGTGATCTATTTTCCTTTCAGTTCAACCACAAACTTACCCATTGAAGCGTAACTGCGTAATCAGATAGATTTCCAATGAAACCTACCTTTGGTGAGAGACCGCCCCCCAAAAGAATGCAGCCAGCTTCTTCTCAATAATAGATATGACTTTTCATGACAAGGAAACAACTAATTATGATTAATCAAACAATGACATAATTAATCAAAATACAACAATAACAATAACGACGACATTATACGTGTACCGGAAAGGCTCGCATCTACTGTGGAGATAAGGGGGATTGGATGTGTGCAACCCTACCCTAGGCCTGTACTAAAGCATCAGATGACCCACGATGAAAATCGCATAAAAGTTGCATTGAGTAACTACTAGTCTAGTACTTCATAACAAAGAAGTGGTGACAATTTAGCTAGTCATATTCCATCATATTCCCAAGCCCAAAAAAGTGAGTCTGGCTCCACTGGAAATGATGGAAAATATAATTAGGCGGAATATAAAATCATACCCAAGACTAATATAAAGAACACAATTCGCTGACCTGTTGATATGAAAAATATTTATACTATTAAAATTTTAAAACAATAAACTCCAGTCTTTAATGATCAGTCGATCACACCAAAAGTAAAAGATCCAGCCCCACCCTGAACACCAGCCACCACTTGCAAAGAATTACATTTGATGTCAAAATCTTCCCACCCTTGCATTTGACCCATGTAAGTGCTTCCAGGAGCCCCAACACTTCCTTTTCCCTTGGACTGAAACTACCCATTGAAGGGCTCTCTGTGCATGCCACAAAGGCGCCTTCACCGTCTCTCACTACCCAACCATGCCCGATTTTCCCATCTTCTTTATGGACGGCTGTATCCACATCAACCTTGAGCCGTCCTCTCTCCTGTGGACACCACTATTTACCTGTTACTCTAACACCCCCTCCCTCCAATTTTCCACGAGTGAGCCCACCAATAAAGGAAAGCAGCCCCAAATCTGTAATTTAATCAAGTAATTAACATTTCGAAATAATGACCACAAGATTATTTTCAAAAAGCATGCAACTCATTTTTAAAATCTAAGAGTAACTTCAATCAATTTATAAGAACTATTCAAACAAATAGAGTAACTCAATTTTTAAATCTATGAGTAACGTTCAATTTATAACTATTCCCTTCTTTACCTGTCTTTCATGATGATCTTTTAGAGACATCTTATATGCAAAAGATTGTACTCTCTACATTCGTACTAATTTTAGAACTTAGTCTAATTTACAGGATAAACTTTGAGCTACATTAAGATTGCAATATGCATGCATCAAAAGGTAGTTTGCACGAAGTAACTGACCATCCACCATCAGCTGCTACTGTTAAGTGGCTGGGAATGGCATCTCTCGCCCCCACCAGTAGTTTCCTGAGAAGATTGAGAAGATTGAAATTTCTGGAGAGAGCGGTATTGAAGGCGAACATTCTCACCACTGTCAATAATCTTAAGCAAGTACCTGAAAAAAACAAGGTTCAGGTCTATTAGCTTAGGGAGTGTTTGGTTCATGGATCATGAGATTACCACCTAAGGAGCGTTTGATTCTTGTTCATTTCATCATTTTCATTTACCCCAGTGCCGCAAAGGCTCCCACCTACGGTGGGGTAAGGGGGTCGGATGTACGCAGTCTTACCCCTGTACTAAAGCACAGAGAGACTGTTTCCGGATGATCCATAGTGAAAATCGCGTCCAAAATTGCATGGACTGACTGCTGTTTCATAACAAAGAAGCGCAGACAGTTTAGTGAGCCATTTTGCTTTATTCCATCATATTCTCAAGCCAAAAAATAATGAATCTTTGGCTCCATTGCAAATGAGTGAAAATGGTAATGTGATGTTACCTTTTTCATTCAGGTTTTCATATTACCATGTAATCCAAGACTACAATTTTTTTTTTAGGTATTGTAAGATTGGCATGGTAACTTTGTAGATTTATAGATTATCCAACTCCTTATAACTAACAATTTAATCAGACAAGTAAAGAAAAATTATCGAAATAGGAGTAAACAGGCTTTAGAATTCTAAAATAGATTGCTATGTTTTTCTTCCTGAAATAGGAATAACATGGCAATAGTTAATGCCATCTTGGAATCATTAGTGCCAAAATAGTTGCAATACTAGGTATTAATATGACAATACTTACTAGTATTTTTCAATCATGGCAAGAACGACTCCTATTTCATGAAGAAAAACATAGTAGTCCTATTTAGGGCAATTTCCCCACAAGTAATCAATCACATTCCGTGATCCGATTAGTTTAATGCAATCTTACATCTAACATTACCTTCCAAGAGGCAACCATATTACCCAAGGACCAAGGTTATCTTTTCCTTCCGTGAACCAATCGTCCCACAGGTAATATGATCACTACATGTAAGGGAATGTAAGATTACTCAAAAATTGGACGAATTGGTACTATATGCCAGAAGAAGAAAGGAGACGTAAATCAGCTATCTTCATAGAGTAGAGAGAAAATCTTATTAGCTTTTGAAACCTCTATTTAAATAGCTTTCAATCAATAACGGTCATTCATTTTTAGAAATGGTACAGAAAGTGGTACCATATTTCTATAAATATGGATTGAAAACTTCACATAGACAGTAGCTCGAGTTTATACAATTGGTCATTTGGAGAGACAAATACCACTATGTGTTTTTCAAATTTTAGTTTAAAGAGGCCACCATTACAGATAAAAATGATGTTAAGTCTTTAAAAGTTTAAATTATAGAAAATATTATTTAAGTATTTTTTAAAGCAAAGCGGCCATTGCAGACCAACAATTTTAACTCTTTACAAGATAACATGAAAGAAATAAAGTTTTAACAGAACCTATTGGAGATGCTCTTAGTTATTATTAGATAAACTAACCATCCATTAAGACACTGTGAAGTGATTATTGCTTCTTTCCCCACAAATTTATCCGGCGTCCTCCTATTTCCCTGCAACCAACATATGTAAACTCAACATTGTGATTCGAAATGACATATAGTACTCCCTCCGTCCCTCAAAACTTTGCCAAGTTTGACTGGCCCGGGAAATAATAAAGTAAAAAATTTTGGGGTTGAGATTTGTGATGAGGAGAGAGAAATGATAGGAACTACAAATTGATTGACTAAAAAGGAAAGTGGTAAAGTTTTTGGGACAACCAAAAAAGGAAACGAGGCAAAGTTTTAAGGGATGGAGGTAGTAGTACATGTGATCATATCTAAGTTCAGAATTATCTATTTGAGCCCTTTTTATGTCATTGGAAACTTAATTCACATTTTATAGCTAATATAGAGACTAAAATTTCTAAACTTTAAAGGATTCATCTTTATTTGGCCAAAATATCTAGTGTCAATTTTATTGTAAATTTGATCATATAATGTTTAGAATTATCCATTTGAACCCCAAATGAATTTGCATAAAACATTTTCCTACGACATGAAATATTACCACTGCAAAGAATGTAAACCAAAAAGCTCTTACCTTAATCGTAACTTTCTCATTCACCGAGAATGGATACTGAATAGCTTTGAATGGACTAGTTTCAGAAAGAAGTTCCCCATTTTCCTGTGAAGTGGAAAATTATAAGCACAGGTATTCACAGTTTTACTCATTAATATCAAATTACTTTTAAATTATATAGTAACCTCTCAATTTCACTGTGATCCTAGTCACAATTTGAATAATAAAGAGTACTCCATATTCTTTAGGATGAGTGAGACCACAATGTGGTGTAAATGACTACTCCATACAGTTTAAAGATATTTAAAAAACCAGCTTTGCTCCTGTTTTCATATCTCTATTTAGAATGGCTGCAAAAGAAAATTTATTTGTTATCACAAACACATTTTTCCATTATGCACAATCATCTTTGCGATAGAAATATGCCATTCACACTCAACACTCATTGTTGGAGTAAATGACTGATGTAGAAAAACTAGAACTGATATTTCTAAGGAAGTCACTAAGTCAGTATAATAAGGGCTTATCTGAATGATAGAAAGCGGAAAGGATGCATTTTGCTATATCTCCCATTTTTATCCCCATGAAAACAAAGCTATTAGTTCACTCTAGTAATTGGTATATTCTTTCATTAGTCTGATCATAAGCACCAAATTTCTATCAAATGTAGCAAATGGCATGCTCTTCGACTCTTTCCATAATGAAATTTGAGTGACTTTAACTTGGGGTTTGTACACTAATATTACTAAAATGAAGCTCTTGGACAAAAAAACACCTTTTCTAGAAAATTCAAAAATGTGACTATAAGCTTTAAACTTACTAAATTACCCTGAATGACTTTAGCTGATAGTGACATAACTCACCCCGGTGACCTAACCAGCCCAGTGACCTAACCCGCCCAGTGACCTGACTTGTCCAGTTATAGTTATTCAATCTGATCTGACCAGTCATAATTACCCGATCTGACCAGTTACAGTTACTAGACTCGACCCAGTTACAGTTACTCGACCCGACCAGTTACATTTACCCGACCCAAAAGTTACAGTTACTCGACCCGAACAATTACAGTTACACGACCTGACCAGATACCGCTACCCGACTCGACTAGTTAACGTTATTCAGTCCGATAGTGACCACTGCCGGTCACCACTGCCGACAACCGCATCCGACCACCCCTACTGCCGCCCCGCACTCGACTAGTTGGCATGGCCTGCCCCACCCAACACCTACCTCGCCCCAGCCTCCAACTATGCGACCACCTCCCTGCCCTACCCCTGCATTGCCCCAATCCCACCAGCGCTGCCCGTCCCCAACCTGTCTTCTGCTACTCGCGGTTGTCCCCAACAGCCCCCCATTTCCTGCTCTGCAAATCATCACCAGCCCCTACGTACCCAAACTGCCTCGCCCCAGCCCCACATTCCCTCCTCTCCAACTCGTCGCCGTTGCTCACATCCCTCAAGGTCAACACTGGAGAAGCCCCAAAGTCACCGTCTTTTATGGCCTAGCCCTCAAATTCATCGACTCCAGATCTGTTGCAACCGTCTGCGCCATATCTATTGCAGTCATCATCGGCGGCTTCCAACCTTCGCCAATGGATTTGCACAACCACCAATTTACAAGCTCGGCGCTCATGGAGAACATCGTTGTTGCCGCTGATGCAGAAATTGAGGAGAAAGAGAAGGTTTCGGCGATCAAACAGTTGCGGCGGCGGACTGATTGCTGCGGTTGAATGTTGCCATGGAGGACCAGAGGTGCAGCTGAGCGGGAGACAAACTTTGAAGAAAGGTTTTCGACTCCTTGGTGCTGGCTGAGAGATAGAGAACCGACGGCATCGAAAGCAGGGGTGTTTCAGTCTATTGAGAAACAATTACTCTCTTTTTTGTCCAAAATTAAAAGTGGTCATACTTTTGTCTTTTCAAATCCCACGAGTAATATATTTGTCATTCTTTCCTTTAACTTAGCATTCTTCGGAATCTTCGTGGAATTTAATCTCGAGGTAGACTGGAAAAAATTGTCCAGAAATTTGACTACAGAATCTAATGGTAACTATCTTTATTTATCTCATATATGTCAAAAAGCATACCCTGATAAAAAATGGAAATGGAAGCTTATTTCAGTTGACCTCATACAGGTAAGAAATTCTACATAATAGTTACTGTCTGTTTATTTTCTTTTCTATTAAGTTTGTTTGAATTGTCTATGTTAAGATGTTTGTCTAGATATTTTGAGTGCATGAGTGATCTCAATCTATGAGACTATATTTTGTATGCTAAATAAACGGACTGAATTGAGTAAAATAGCCAATTTAAGGTTATTTTGGGTTATCTTGTCAATGAGTAATGTCACTTGTTAACATACATCTATTCCACAATCGGTTCCAAAAATTGTTGAATATACATCTTAATGAAAAGGAGTAATATCTCAGCTTAACGATTAAATCAGTACTTGGTTGAATGTATAAGTCATGTTTTCAACTAAACCACAAGTAAACATGACTAAATGGTTGAGTGATTAACTCATTGTCCCGGTTAAGTCCATTCAGTCACAAATAAATAACTCCTTAATATGTTAAGTTACACAATGCAGTTTATTCTCGAAACCTTCTCAGTAACAATTCATATGTAAACCTAAGACAAATAAGGTTATTCATGCTACAAAGTATACAAAGAAATAAGGTTAACCATGGTATTTAAAGATGTTCTACTAAGCTTTTTAAGTTCTTAACTCTAGTTTCACAAGTTCCGCTAAACTTCCAAGTTTCAATTCTTGGCCTTCCTCACATGACTAACAATCCATCAGTTTCATTTAATCATGAGCCCTCATGCTCATCGTCAGTACTAGGACATTGGTATTGATTGCTATAGTGCTATTTGCTCAAATAATACAACACTTCAGTTGTCAGCTCATAAGTCATAACTGAAGCTATAGTTTGTTTATTACTACCTCCATCCCATACAAAGATGTCATGTTTCAGCAAGGTATGACTTCAAAATTTTAGTTATACTTTTAAACTTAATTATTGGTTTCATTAAATGTAACGTTTTACATATTTAACATTTTTGGATGTTCTTTTTAAGAACACTAAAATTAATGAAAATTTGATCCTAAGATTGAAACCACAGAAATATTTGTTCTAATGTTGTCTCCATATGTTTGAGTAAATAGTTTCAAGCAAGATCTCATTTTGTGTGGACTGAGCAAATACAGGTAAATCAAAATTTACCCTGAACTCGCCCACTTCTTTCCTGCGCTTCCTGAGGGAAGCATTATGAAATAATCTCCGCTCATCCTCATACTTCACTGCTGTTGCTGCTGCTCTTAAAGCTATTCATTAAAAAAAGGCATAAAAAATAAGAATAATCACAACAGATAATTGCAATCAATTATAATAGTTCCAAAAGCACCTTGACATTAAGGAGGTTGCAACTTGCAAGGGAAAGAGTAATATAAATGAAGTGCAGCATACCTAAGTTAGGGATTAAAGATCCAGGCTCAATTTCTGCATTGCAGAGTGTGCATCTAGACTGTCACAAAAGGTTCATTGTATCATGCATTGTGAGTCCATGGAACAATATACCATAAATCATACTCCATCCGTCCCAAAATAAACTTCATTCTTTCCATTTTAGTCTTTCCCAAAATAAACTCCGATTTCTTTTATAGCAAAGAATGTGGTTCATAGTGTTTCTTTCTCCATTGTACAACTTTTGGCCACACAATTTGCACTTCTTTATCCCTCACAAAGTCAAAACAAGAGTTATTATGGGACAGAGGTAGTACAAATTTTGAAAACCAAAATATCACTGGATATCTATTTCAACAAAAAAGGTGAAATCATCTCAACCTGCAGGTTACATTTTTTCATCAATTTGTTGAAAACGCGCTTTATAAGAAAATATAACTTGTGGATATAACAAGTAAATATTGCTGTATTTAGATTCACAAACAAGAGGAGAAGTCAACCGCCTTACTGTCTCAACAACCCTTCTTAGCATCAGACCACCAAATGAATGTCCGCATGAAACGTATGTAGCATCTTCCATGTATGTGCCCCTGGAGTGGCATCATGCACACATATTAGGTGAAAGCATAATGTGTTTTCATAATGCAGTCAAACTAAAATGACACGTGATATGATAAAAAGAATGAAGCTGGAAGAAATGTACCACTCTGACATGATAAATAACTAAAGACTTATAAAATGAGATGACCTCTGATATCTGAGCATTTCACTTTTCATAGTCTAGTTTCTTTAAAAGGCATATTTCAACATGGATCATTCAAAAGATACAGACACACAATAAAAGTCAACTATCCAACATTGAAGGGAAAAGAAGTATAATACATGATTTATAAAAGTCGACTATAAGAATAGTCTCATGTCCTTTTAGCATATAAATATGGAATGTCAGAAGGGGTTCCTTGATCATATGTAAAGCGCTTAAGAAAATGTACAGTTGATGAGAGCCCAGGCCTTCTAATAATTAATCCAGACAGAGATTTCTCCAGAGTTTACACTAGGAGGAATAAAAGGGTAAATGGGTAAAAGAATAATTAAAAAGAGAAAAGTGGAGCCAGTTTGTTGTGGAAAGAGGGAATGAAAGGGATGCCCGAGGAGGGAGAATGGGAAGTCTGGAATTGGGTAGTTTGGGAGAGTGGGGCCCTCTCCAATGGCTTCTAGGTTGTAATTTCCTTCTCTGCAAGTTATCATACATTTCCTTGTTTGTTCTGAGATTTTTCAGACTGAGTTTGATATTTCCACAATTTTCCAGTAATATACGGTTTACATTTATCAATAGTGCCCCAGTGTATAGTGTATACTTGCGTAATGGTAAAGGCAGTGCTCACCCATTTCTGAAAAAATACATAACTCTTTCCACATGTGTAGCATTAAATCAAGTTAAAAAGGCAAATAACTACTTGCCAGAAAAATATTTTGGGAGAATTTGACTTTGGGTGATATTGGACTTTGCACCCCATATTCAAAATCATTAATATTTGCACCCTATTTCACTATAGAATCATTTGACTTTGCACCCCACTCCTTCACAATTTTTGGGCTAATGGGGTGCAAATATTAATGATTTTGAATATGGGGTGCAAAGTCTAATATCGCCCAAAACATGGGGTGCAAAGTCAAATTCCCCCAATTATTTTCAAAAAACACGAATCTGAGATAACAAGACCTAAGCCTCATTGAGTGACGCACTACGATTTCCAAAAGAGCAAGTAATAAATTTAACAGTGGTTTTAACTTGGATGGTCTATTACGAATTTCTTACTTGGACTGATATTTTCTGGTCTGGTCTAGTCTGGTTTGAACTGGTTTGGTCTTTGTGTATTATACAACAGATTAAGTCTGGTCTGGTGATAGAGAGCAGAGAGATCAAGGGGCGGGAACGGGCTTGGGCCCACCTCCGTGGGTTGGTTGTGGGCTAGGATTATAGTTTTATTTATTACTATAAAGTTTATGTTATGTTTTTTAGTTTGGGCCTATTATTAGTAGAGTAGTTAGTAGAGTTAATTTGGGCCTAATTAGGGTTTAATTAACTTGGGCTCGATTAGGGTTTCTGTTGAGTCTCTTACTAGAAGGCTATTTATACCCCTTGTCAGGGTTCATTCTTGCTTATCTTGGAATAAAGTTGGATTTCAGCCTTTTGGCTCTGGGCAACGGTTTATATCGTTGATTTTCTGCGCAACGGTTTACCCCGTTGATTTTTATTTTTCTGTTCTCAACATCTGGTTTGTTTAAGTTTGGTCTGTTTAAGTCTGGTCTGACACTGAAATGAGTCCAAGTAAAAACATCCTAAAGCTAAACAAGAGTTCAATCCGAAATGGAGGAATTGCTTTCCAGATAATTTAGGTGTTATTTAGGTTACATATAATAGTAAATTTATTCTTTTGGTACTTCTTAAAACAGATAGCCTAACAAATATGACATACTTTTAGTTTCTTAACCAAAAAAATTGCAGGCTTGCAAAAAAGTGTAAACTGGAAACTGTGCGATTGAAATTTATTTAGAAGAAAGACAAGCAACTTTAACCATAGAATCATTTCCATAAATAGAAAGAGGAACCATTTTGGGACAAATCAAAAAGGAAAGAATGAAGATAAAAAGATATTGATGAAGTAATATCTAGGGAGAAGATACCCTCCTCCGGATGAAACAAAAAAACTAAAAAAAAAAGAACATAAATGACATAATGAGTTAATGAAACATGTTTCACAAAAAAAACTCCAGAAGAAATGGAAAGAAACTTACGTTAAGGGATCTGAGAGAACACTTCTTAAAGACTGTTCCTTATTTAGATTGCCTTGACTGACCTGCTGTTTCAAAACTTGAGTGACATACTGACATATCTTAATAATCAAAATGTCTGCTACTCTGCTTATGCACAAAGCCCCAATAAATCAAGTGATAGCAGAAGGCGTGTGCCAGAATATCTGGGAGTGCAATTATAGAGCTCAGCCTAATAGCATGCATCATATTGTCATGATCTGTGGGATCAATTTGACCAGGCCCAAACTCAAAAGTTAGTACTTGGCATGGTTTAAAAAGGTGGTCAAGGCGCAACAGTAGAAGCACAACATGGTTTAAAAGGCGGTCAAGGCTTAAATCTCAATGTATTGGCTAGAAATGCATGGCTCGTGTGTATGACACATGACCTTGAGTTGTAGTCTCACAAGGCAGTAAGGCATAAACCTTTTATATTGGTCAAATAATTTTTTAGAAATAAGCAATTTTTATACATCTTGGCCCAACAAGGCTTTGTTTTTCTCTGGGCTACTTGAGTTGTATTAAACAAATTCAATATTTCAACTTAAAACCTAAGGTCTACAAGATGTTTCGGCTTCTCAGCGCAGCTGCCTCAATAAGACATTTACAGCAACAGCTTTTCAGAAGCACTTTTGTGCTTTTTGGTTTTAAAAAAACTAAAAGTGGTGTTTTTAAGTTGCTTCTTAACTTTTCTGTGTTTCCTAAATTTTATCAATTTGTGCAACCTTATCTCAGATTGTTAGGAGAGGGTTTTTTCAGGGCTATAAGTAGCTTATGACCTAGCGGTCACAAAGTGAATATTTTGCTGCTGCGATAAGGAAATTAGTCTTTAATGCAAATTTGTCTTGAAAGAGGATGTATTTCTAAATTTCAGAAACCTGAAGGATGATTCAGTAATTTAACCAAACCTCAAGGGTTGTAGGTCTAATTAACACCCAAAAAGTCCCTTTAAAAAACATCCTCTTGTCCAGTATTTATGGTCAATTATCATTTTTAGTAGAAATAAGTTTTAGGGGTTATAATTGTCCATTCATAATTTGTAAAAGATTGGATCGTGATTGAGTTGACTAACAAAAACAACTCAAACAATGCGCTTAATTAGGACAGAGGGAGTAGTACTTACATAAGCATTATCAGTTCTGTTACAGAAGATGTCTTCCTCTGCAGAAATGTCATCCAGAAACTGGCTTACAGAAATTGGTATATAGCTTTGAGGAATGACATGACCAGCCGCTTTAATGGGAGAACAATCAAGAACAGCATTGCTTTGTGGCATAAGCCTAAATGCCAATGATGTCCTACAAAAAGTTAGCTAATACAAATCATCTGATGCTGAAAATTCTCTGCAGCAGTAAGCTGGTATGGATCTACTCTAGTCCAGTACGGCCATTCGCCCCTGCACTGGTTTTATGAAAGATATTTCTAATCCCTTCATAATTACTTGCCACAATTGATTTTTGCACGGAGTTTAAGAAAGTTTTTAACGAGGTGAGCGAAGTTATCTTTTAGGAGGTGAATATTTATTTTTGGTTGGATGGAACTTTATTTATTGTGTAGGTGGGGTTTATTAGGTAGTAAAATTTCCAAAAAAGGAAGTGAGACAAGTAGTATGGAACAACCCTACAAGGAATTGAGACCAGTAAAATGGAATAGGGGCAGTGCATATGTAAGTATTTTAACAGGATATGGCAGCTATGAAACGTATTTTTTAGATGAATATCTGAACCAATGTAGTCGGTGGATTATTAGAGAAGATGAGATATAATTTTAGACTGCTATGAATTTTTTATATTAGAATGGACCAAATATTCACTGAGAATTTTAGACTGCACTCAACATATTTCCTAGATCCGTCTATGTGAATTAGACTTGCAAAGTTATGTCCCATCACCTACCTTCCGCAGGTAGTATTACCCAAATAGTAATCATAGGTTGCCCTATGTATGGTTGCAGGGCGGAGACCACCAGTTGCATGGCTGAGAGCCTTTCCAGTAAGCAATAACAAATCTCCCGAAGCTAGACCGTTGTCTGCTATGTACCACCTACTGTTGGGATCACATACCTATGGTAATAATAAGAAACAATTCAGGTAAACAATTCAAGATTAAGGAGCCGAGAAACCCAAACAAAATATGCTGCATAAAGACAAATGAACAATTCAAGTTTACAACATTCATCATTATCAGGACCTTAATCCCAACTTTTGGGGTGTTAAAGCAACAACAACATTACCGCAGTGCCGCAAAGGCTCCCACCTATGGTGGGGTAAGGGGGCTCGGATGTACACAATCTTACCCATGTACTAAAGCACAGAGAGACTGTTTCCGGTTGACTCATGATGAAAATCGCATCAAAAATTGCATAGACTGACTGCTGCTTCATAACAAAGAAGCGCAGACAGTTTAGTAAGTCATTTTTCTTTATTCCATCATATTCCCAAGCCCAAAAACAGTTAGTCTTTGGCTCCATGGGAAGTAATGGAAAATTTTTCGGATGTTAATCATCATCATCATCATCATTACCCCAGTGCCGCAAAGGCTCCCACACCTTTGGTGGGGTAAGGGGAGGTCAGATGTACGCAGTCTTACCCATGTACTAAAGCAGGGAGAGATGTTGGGGTCTATTATTATTTGTCGGATGTTAATGATAGGATTATTAGTATGGCTTGTATTTCATTGTTCTAAAACTCACTAGGCGCTAGTCGGACGGTTGAGGGGCGCCTAGCGCCTAAGCGGCTGACTAGGCCGGTTTTTTGGGCGCCTAGACCGATTTTTTGGCCGGCTAGGCCGATTAGTGCTCTATAGTTACGGCCGACTAGGCCGAATAATCGGTCCGACTAGGCCGATTTTTAGAACAGTGCTTGTATTATTAGGGTTATAGGGCTTGGATTACTACTTGGGCTCTACTCATCCATGTTGCCTATTTATACTCATTGTATTTCTCCTTTGGAGACACATATATTTTTCCATATAATATTATTCCTTCATATCAGTTAATTGTAATAAAACTAGTAAGACCACCACGACAACACAATACCTGGAGACCAGCAGTATCAGAGGAAATCAATGTTAATAACCCCTTTTCTACTTCATTGGTTGTTTGGAGTTTCACTCCCTCACTTGATCCTCTCCCATTCTGTGAGGTTGATGTTGGGGAGAAGGTTGCAACAAGAACGGACGAGGAAGGCTCATTAAGTGGCAACGGGTTATCATCCAGTAAGTGGTTAAAAACACTGCATTGACAACTTATGTAATGATAAAAACCATACAAAAGAAAAGTCATAAAGAAGTCCATCCAATAAATATGAATGGCCCTACAAATCTTAAATTAGCATCCTTACTCGCTTCGCAGACGAAGATGTCTAGCAACTGCACATAAAGCAGCTCGGGCTGCCCTTCCCATGCATTGAAAGACATCAGCCATGCATGGGGGAGATGAATCCACGTCTTCCAAGGGCCTATGATGTCAAACTAATTGTCAAGCTTGCAAATGAAGAGAAGAAGATGATTGGCTTATGATAATTGGCACCATTAAACAAGGCACCAATAGGGCTTACATTAATAAACACGGACATGTACAGGATAGGGCATTTCATGTCAGCAACAAATGAACTAAATGTGTCCATTATTTTATAACTCAAAAGTTAATATAATGCAAGGCTAATATTTGGAGGGATTAGTATATATCTTGATAATAGAAAGATTCATGGGGGAAGACTTTGAAGTGGTTTGTTGATATCATAATAATAGAATGTTTCACAAAACAAAATAATGGTGATTAAAATGTTAGATTACCACATATAATTATGTACATCTTTCAGTTCTTATAAATTCTATAGATATATAAGAAATTGCTCATAATAATAAAATGTCTCAAAAACAAAATAATGGTGATTAAAATGTTAGACGACCACATATGATTATGTATATCTTGCAGTTCTTATAAATTCTATAAATACATAAGAAATTGCTCAAAATAGGTGTAAAAGATGAACAAACCTCAAAAATAAGACTAGGCATGTTTTATTCCCAAAATATAACTTATTTAGTCCTATAAATGAATGAAACGATAAAAACTTTCCAAAATAGGACACTCCTATTTGAGAAAATCTGCTAAGTTTTACTCTTATTGAGGGATTTTTCTCTAAATGTATACAAATATAGAGTATGTACTTGAAAGCCTCCCCCCCCCCTAAAGTCCAAACCTTCCATTCAAACAGACCACAAATCCATTGCACAAGTACTACACATTCCCAAGAAAACCAACTGTGTGTTCCATGGAATGGAAAAGAATCCAGGTACAATCCCAAAAGAACACAATAATAATACTATTAATACTAAAATTAATAATAATACAGTATTAATGCATGAATGGTATGCACAAAATCCATAAAGAGATCATTTTCTTGTTTACCTTCCTGCCCTGTAGATATAAACTCCACGAGTAGCTTTCCCCTGAGCTGCAACCCGAGTTTTAAAATAAAATCTTGCAGATTCCAGGCCACAGCGGAGCACAGCGGCATCTTCGGCACTGAGCTCAATCACAGCGGCGTTGTGCCTCATCAGCGACCCGGACAGGGCCTCCATGGCACGCGAATATCGCCCCACAGGAGCTCCGTCATAGGGAAGAATGTCGGATAGCTTAACTCTCGTCAAAGGCGGAAGAGCTGCAAGGTCCCCGGGAGAGTGGGATCGGGCCATTGGCGACCCAATTGTACTATCCCGTCCCACAGAAAACGGCAAAGACGAAGGACTCTGAGTGGCGGCGGCGGCGGTGGGTCTAAGAGAGGATTTGGATGGGGGAGGAGGTAGATTGATCGGATGCTGGTCAGGCGGAGCGGAGTGGTGATGCTGCTGCTGATGCATCGTGAACATATCCTCCTTTTTTACATTTCACATCTTGACAGTAATTATATCTTAATCCCTATTAGTAAAAAATATTTAAAAATTAGATTTTGAAAATTTGTAATAAGTTGAATTGAGCAATATAATTTAAAAAAAATAATTTTCATAAAATAATAATATAAAATGTAGTCAAAGTAGAACATGTGAATAGTGTAAAATTCAACATGTTGCGATTAAAAAGAGACGGAGGATAGTATAATGGTTTGGTTTAACCGTATCAAACCGAACTAAATCGAATCGAAACTGAACTGTATGCAATATGTTTTAAATTTGGTACTATTTCTTTCAAATCGTATTAAACTGAACCGAACCGAACCGAAACCGATAAAACTCAAAACCGAATTGAACTAAAGAAACCGAACCAAACTAAAGAAACGCAAAAAAAAACTTTCATATATTATTAAAATTGGTGGTTTGATTTGGTTTGGTTGGGGTTTACTTAAGTAAACTGTTTGTTAAACATTTGCTCAAACCGAATGATTTGGTACTTTGGTTTGGTTTGGTTTAAAACGGAAAATCCGTAAACTGAATTGAACATCGAACAACACACACACATACACACACACATGTGTGTGCAGTATGGAGATTGTAAGTTTGGTTGTACCAATGAAATACGACAATGTGTTTATCTATTATATGTATACATTAAGAAGGTTGTAGGTTTAGTGACTTGGTGATTTGGAGTGAAACATAACTGTCCAAACTCTTAAGCCCTCACCCACTTTTATTAACCATTTAAATCATTGCTATTTTGATCATTGTACCACATGTAAATCACTACTTATATTTTATTTATGTTGGCACATTGCTTGTACACCATAACTATTTTACACACAACACCAAAAAAACTCTATTTTGATTTTATTGCTTTGCTTTAGTTTATGTGGTTTGAATTTAACCTAAAATAAACCATTTCAAATTAGTAAATGTTGACTTAAAAATATGAAATTATACATTATTTTTTTAACTTTATAAACCGAACATCAAACCGAACCGAACCGAAAATTGCTCGAACCGAAACCAAACCGAAATACATTTTTCACCAAACCGAACAACTTGAAACCGAACCGAACCCGATAAAAATCGAACCGTAAACCGATTTGCCCAGCCCTAAATCAGATCATAAATGGAAAGATTGGTCTAACAACTTCCCACAACAGTCCACAGGCTAGAATATGTTGTTTAGGCTCAAATATCTTCAACTTGGCTTTCCTAAACTCTTCTTATTTGTGCATCAAATCTCATCATAACTGCTATTCTTTTCCTTTTGCAAAATAAAAATGAGAAAAAAGCAACTCATCCTTCTTTACTCCAAGTTTCAAAACATCTTGATTTCTATGTCTCAAACATATTTTTAGAAGATGTTTTTCCATAAATATTATTAATAAAAAATTTATGGACAAAAACGTGATTATAAGTTACTATGTGTATGTTTTATAGTCATTATCATGTAACATTTGAATACAACTGTAGTCACTAAAGTTACCACAGTCATATTTTTGTCCACTACTATCATTTTGGTCATATATTTGGAATTTTTTCTTTTTAGAATATGAATACAAAAAATTACTCCCTATAATACTGACCGGTGATTATATTATTTCTCAAGTTCATGCACAACTTATAAGAAAAATTAATAAAATACACAAAATATAATATCTATAGTTACTTTCTTTTTTCCTCTTCCCTTGCCCGAAGTTTCATTATTTCCTTTTCCCTTGCCTTTATTTCATTTTCTTTTGTCCAATTCTTTTTCTTTCCATCAAATTAAAATATAATTTCAATCTTACTTTTCTTTATCTTCATCTTAAATTATAATCGAATCTATTTTTATTCTTTATCAATATATAATAAAAAGTTTATTAATCTAAATAAAATAAGCATATCATATTTCATATTCATGCACTGTTTTTGTTGAAATAATGGCCCAAGTATGATTCCTAGAGTTTGAATGGACACAAATATGATTGTTTGCTAAAAAGACAAAAAAAAGTGATTAAAAATGAAAGGCCCACTAATTGCTCCGCACATGCTCTAGCCTGGCCTTCACCATCATATCTCCTTTCCAGACCAGAGGTGCCTTCACCCTCGTATCTCCGTTAGAGCCACCTTCTGATGCCGTGAGATAGAGCCGCCGACGCCGTAAGACATCGCGACACTTCCTCTCGCCGCACTCATCTGCTTTTTTCTGACTTCATCGATGTCGTCAACAACGCCACCACTGCACCTCTCCTTGTCGTTGTCGCCGCCACTCTTCTTCTTCTCCCTTCTTCTCGTCTGCAACTCGATAGTCACCGCCAAAGAGCTTCCCCGGCCTACCTCGCCGCACAGGACACCACCTAGCCTCGCCTCGCCGTCTCTCCGCGCCTCCTTTAACCTCGGCTATCAAATCTGAAATGGTTACCAGAAAACGGCCAGATCTGGGAGGGTGGCGACTAGGGTTCTTTGGTGGGTGGTCGGATCTGAGTTGGGCTGTCAAAGGTGGGGCTGTGAGGGGTGGATTGGGGCTGGTTAAGGTGGTCAAAGTTGATGTGCTGCAGCGATTGGGTGGCTGGAGGGGGCGGAGTTGGTCAACGGCGGGTGGTGCGATGGTGGTGGGCTGGTGGGTGGGGGACGAGACTGATGAGGAAGGGGTGGCCGGCCGGTGAATAGTGCAGGAAAGTGGTCGCGCGAAGGGATAGGGCGGCAGTTACCGGACCGGTGGCGTGTCACTTTGACTGGAGTCACTGTGACCGGTGTCACTTTTGGCCGGAGTCACTGTGACCGGTGTCACTGAGACAGTGACTGACGGCAACGAAGTCACTGTGACCGGAGTCAGTGACCGGTGTCACTGAGACAATGACCGGCGGCGGCGGAGTCACTGTGACCGGAGTCACAGAGATAGTGACTGTCGGTGGCGGCAGAGTCACTGACCGGAGTCACAGAGATAGTGACTGTCGGCGGCGGCGGAGGTGCCGGTGACGGCGGTGCTGGGGTCGGCGGCCACTGAGATGCTGGTGGCGTCAAAATATGGACTATTAATCATATATGAAGTATAAAAGGAATATTAAAATAATAAATGTATGATTAAATACAAGGAGTAAATGACTTTTAGTCACTTTTTGGAAAAGTTTAAAACAGGTCACATTTTTGTATTTTTCATTCATTTTAGTAATATTCAAATAAAAAGGCTTTTTTTGTTTTTGTAATATTTTTTATATTCATATACTCTTTTTGTAATATACTCTCTCCGTTCTCTAATAGATGGGGGTATAGCCTTTGGCACAAGATTTAAAAAGAAATTAATAGGGGTAGGATAAAAGGTGTAATGAGTTGTGTGTAAAGGAAAAAGTAGGAAATAGAATGAAAAAGTAGGAAAGAGAATTGTTAGAACTTTTATTGTGAGTCAAGTTTGTTTGTAATGTCTTGTTTAAATAAATTAGAATAGATATACCATTTACTGTATTAGTTCTATTATGTAATAAATAGAAGTAAAGGAATAAGGCCCAAAAAGGCTTTAGGCCTAAACTCCTAGGTAACCTAATTCGGAAACCTGTGCAGCGCCTATAAATATGCGCGTCCTGCACAGGTACAAAAAGTCGATCAATACATTCTCTAGCCTTACGCTGTCAAAATACTTCTCGATATAATAGAAAGGGGATTTCTCTGTTCTCGATAATTCCTATATCATTCTATGAAATCTCTCTTCTCTGTTTATCGATGATATCCATCTAGCTGTGTGTTAATCTGTATAAACAGGGACCAACAACTGGTATCAGAGCCTGCTCGAGTTTGATCAGGTGCGAAGAAGTTTTCGACGTTCTCTGTTTTCCATACTTTTCGATATTAGTCTGTTTTAATCTCTGTAATCTTGTTTCTTATCGATAAACTGTAAAAGTTATACCATTGGATTCGCCTCTCAGAAACGAACCAAGGGTATATCTTATTTTTTCGATCTCAGTAAACTTGATAGTTTCGATTTCTCAATAGTATGATGTCGAGAAGCAGAGTTCTCGACGTTCAAGCAGGTTGTTCAAGATGAAAATCACTCTGGAAAGATCTCGGGATTAAGGACTTTACAGAATAGCTGTTTTATCTGCTTAAAACTGAATTTTCAATTTGCGGGACTTCGATACTAACTTCTCGACATAATTTCTCGAACTGGGTTCTCGAGCTCCTGTTCTCGATACTCAGTTTTCGATATTAAAAATCTCGATATCTTGTTTTCGATATTGCAGGTTCTCAATAGATCTTCTCGATAGTCAGGTTTTCGAAACAAGGTTCTCGAACTGAGGTTTTCGATACTGACTTCCCGATAGATACTTCTCGAACCTAGCTTCTCGATAGCAAGGTTTTCGATATCAGATATCGAAAACTGCTTCTCGATAAAAGTTCTCGAACCCCTTTCTCGAACTTATTCCTAAAATTTAGGTTTTCGACATTCTGTTTTTGAAAATTTAATTTTATCTGATCTAAACACTCGAACGGTCTTTTAAAAGTCTAACAGCAAAGATGGAAGCATTAGCACTAGGAAATGAGAACATACCTCCAATCTTGAGGAGAGGAGAATATCAAATGCGGAGGACGAGGTTTCTGAACTTTCTTAAAGGAAAAGACAACCCATCTGCAATGCTGGAATCACTCACTGAAGGACCAGCACAGATATGGATGGACGTCAATTCTGATGATGTAAATAATCCTCCCGTCAATGAAGAAAGAAGATTGAAAGCAAAGTCTGAGTATACTGAAGCAGACAGGCTAAGAATCAAGGCAGACCTAATGGCTAAAACGTACCTGCTCCAAGCTATTCCTAACGACATTTACATTCTGATTGATAGCATGCAAACAGCTAAGGAGATGTGGGACGAAGTAAGGAAACTAATGATTGGAACTGATCTAGGTTTGAAAACGAAGAAGACAAACATCCTGACTGCCTATGATGCATTTAAAGCTCTACCTGGTGAAACGCTCCATGAAACGTACAATAGATTCGTACAACTG